TGCTTATCCAAATACTAAAGAACAGCAGAGTAAAAAGTTTTAGGATAAACTCTTAGATCCAGTAAAGGACACAACTGAAATATATTTAAGATTCTAAAACACTACAGTGGAACAATGTGGATACCTATATAACAGCACAGTTACTGATCAGCAAAGAAAGCAGCTGTTGTGTTATTTTAACCAAAGACAATAGAAGACTAAGATTTAAAACCATAAAAGAGTAATCTTTGCTTTGTAACCCAAAGGGATCCAATGAAGCCTTTCCAGATGGAAATAAACAAAATCTTGGATGTAAGACTCAAATGCAGATATCACAATGGAAATAGCAGGCTCTATCTTTATAAAGAACATCTGTTGTGAAGTTGTTTACATTCCTACCAAAGTGGAAAAGAGTATAGCTAATTCTCCGTTGCAGCCAGAAGCCAGACATGTTAGGGGGGAGTATGAAGTTATTTTTTAGTGTTTTTTAATACAATATAAACATACATGGCTTTTCATTAACTCAGTTTTGTCACTTGAAAAAAAAAAGAAATAGGGATTTGGGGCACAGAGAATCATTTGCTTGCAATTTGCCAGAGACTTATTTCCACATTTTCCATTCTTTTATATTTTACTACATGAATTTTTGAAGTTTATTTCACCCCTGTTACAAGGAGGAAGCAAGGTGTCCATTCATGAGTCCCTTGCTGAGCAGTCTACAAGAAATGAAGAACTTCCAGCCTGTGGGTTAGCAATTTGCTCTCACTCTTCCAGAGATGATAACTAGACTGTTTAACCTGAGTTTCTCAGGAAATTACAAATAGATCATAAGTTATAGGTTATTACTGCATTAATATTCCTCCTCTCTGCTATCCAACTCTAGGTTTTCAGAAGTAGTTGAGGTTTTTTTCATTCCTTTTTTCTTTTCTTTTAATATTGGGAAATCAAGTATATTTAAGCAGAGACCACAAAGTGTTTGTTCTGCTGTTCCTGTCCTCCCTCATACCCTCCCAGTCCAGGCATGAGACAGACAATGGAAGACAGAACAGCTCCATCTTCCCCTGTAAAGCAATGGGTGGCTAGCGGGAGCGGTAGAACAGCCACATGAAATGTTCTTGATTTGCATTAAAACAACTCTATGACATACTACCACCCTGCTCGCTGTATTTTAACAATGATGTTTTAAATAACAGAGCTAAAGCTTTGATTTTAAAAGCTACATTACAAAATTAATTTTGCATACATCTACCATTTTTATGCCTGCTTATGCCAAATTATTACTGGGCTTCTCACTATTTTTAGTCTCTCTCCATCAGCATTCCTGCTCAACACTGCATTCCAAGTCATTAGTGCTCACTCTTATATGCATATACGTATATACACACATACAAACACACGTACATACACACACACATATAGATACTATTTCCCAGTAAAGTTTAGCTCAGACTTCAGCATTAAACACAAAGTGATAGCTGTGAATTTACACCACAGAATAATTTGACTTTATTCCTTCATGTAAGGTAGAAAAAAGTTAGTGCAAAAATAGATGGCAAATACAAAGACCACCAAGAGCAAAGAAGGACCAAAGAGGCGTAGTTTGGGAAGGTTTGCTATGAATACAACGCTTCAAAAAGAGGCAGTTTAATTTGTATATGGAAAATATAATACAGTGCTTAAACACAAAAATGGAAATCTATGCGTAGCTATAATCCTATAATTTCTAGTTTCTACTATATATTTTTCCAGTGAAGACCATATTGCATCGTATAATTTTTATCCCACCACTTCTTTACCCGTGCCTTTTTGATTGCTGGCTTTCAGAAAAACAATTTTTGAAATGATCTGACTGTATATGATTTTGAGATAAATTACACTAATAAATATTTTTATAGTGACTTGAAATTGCAAACAAAATCTTGCTTTTCTTCTTCCTACACAAACTAGAGAATAAACTTATAGAAGAAACTTCACTACCAGCACAGCAGCCTGATTACAAAGGGCAATTACTAATTTTGAAGTACACTAGAGAGACATGACCTGATTACAGCACAGTGATTAAGATATAGATATAGATTAAGATTAGGATGTACTGATATGACCAACAGAATAAAATTAAAGTCACCTTTCTAATACCTAATGATTTACAAAAAATCTTTTACTTTCCAAATGTCGGAGTTGAGCAAAGGTAATACAAATTTTCTTTTATTCTGAAACATTTAGGCTCATATGATCTTGTCCGTTTCCATGAAAACCAGGTAAATACACACTTTTGAAGTAATGATACTGATTCTGAAGGCACTTGTATACATTTCACTTCATACGATCCTGAGTTATTATAGTGAGTTAATTTCCCCTGTAAAACTCAAGAATGTGTCAAATAGCTGCAGGAGTCAAAAGATATGAAACTTAATGTCAAATACTTGTTCCACTTTGAATTTTCTCAGTCTCTGAAGGAATCTTTTACAGAGCTAACTGTTTATTGCGCTGAATGGTCATTCTCAGACAGTGAGAAGTATAGTTGGAGCCAGACTCCTCTTTCTAGGGAGAACAGTCCCTTTGACATAATTAGAGGCATCCTCCACAAAACACAGTCGTTTCTTTAATAAGTGACACTGAACACCATCCCAGCCTACAGCAGCTTTCTCAGTTCGAAACACAAAAGTAGTCAAGTCTCAAAAACTTCAAAGACAGCTTTTCATTTTATTTTCTCCTTGATCCACTGATAGAGCAGTTCATTTTCTTGAATTTTGTAAAATGACTTTTTCACTCATCAGACCTGTGTAACAAATCACTGTCTCAATCTTGTTCCTGTTTGATTCATCCGCTTTTCCTTTGGCCTTTGGATAGGAAGCTTCACTTCTGAAACATTTTCGAAATTCACTTTTGTGAACTTTTCTCCCTCAGTTGCTCTTTGTTCCATTTTAAAAAATAATTGCATTTCCTGCAACATAATGTGCTAGTTTCAGGGGTTTAAATTTCATCAAATTATCTTTCTTAGAGACAGCAATGTCTTTTCTTTAAAAAGCACCATTTGATAACACACTATCAGCTATAACGTGGTGCTTTTAAAGCTGTAAATTGTATAACATAACATATTTCCAGAATTCTCAGTTTCATTCTGCTAACTTAGAACAGTTTTTTCACGAGTAAGACATCGGTACTCTCATGTATATTTTTTTGCGTTTTACAAAGATTTTCTAATTTCTGAACTTTGCTGCTGCAGTCTGTTCTAAGACAGTATCTCCTCTGAGGACAACTCTTTAGCAAGACAGGACTGCCAATAATCCTGATCTTTTTCAATGTTAAAAAGGCTGGAAAGCTATAAAGTTCCACTCTTGCAGGCTTTTTCTGCCTCAAAGCTGATAGGCAAACTTCACATAGATATTCCCTGTACAGAATGTAATTAATCCTTCTCAAGATGTAGGAACAAGCCCTGTAATATGAATTACATTTTCAACTGGGTATTTACATTTACAGTGTACAAACCAGAAAGGTGCTCAAAGCATAGTAAACTCAGACAAGTGTGTTGCAGGAGAGCATAAAATGGGCTACGTTATGATCTTTGCTTACTTAGACCAACTGGAACACAAACACTGTCATTTTACATTAATGGTGAAAGGCGGCTGAGTTGATCTGACCATGGTTAGTTATGTTTTGTGTAGTTAGCTTTGCTGTCTTGCTCTGTATAATAGCTGATCTTACCCCACTTCTTTAACTGCTAAGCTTAGAGATCAGTCTTCAAAAGATGAACAAATCTGACCAGATATAATATTTAAGAAGGATGGTGATCACTCCATAGAAAAAGGAAGGTGTAAAAACCCAGCTTCTGAACAACACAAAAGGGGTATAAAACACACCTCCCAGAGAAATACAGTCAGAACTCCCCAGACTCTGAGTCAGAACCAATGTTCCACAAACATGCATAAGTTTGACAAGATTCAGAGTGTCAGCTGCCTTTTGCCTAGCCAAATATATTCCTTCTTGTGCTCCTACCGTGCTGCTTCTCAGCATGCTCGTTTCCATCTTATGCATTCCCCCAGCCTGTCATCCATGTTTCCCTCTGCCTGAGGTTCACTCTTGTCCCCTTACTTTCTGCAGCCCAAACGTCCCACACTGTCACCTCCTCCTCAGCAGCCATATCCCATCTACCGTGGTCACTTCCCTCTGTGGTCTGGGGTTTGTTTTCCAACCCCATGGAGGCAGAGCCAAGAGCAGAGCCTAGGCCTGGCTCAGCACAGAGCCCTGAGGGAAGGGCTGTGTCCGGGCCCAGCCTCACCTCCCTCCAGCTCACCCCAGCTTTAACCAACCAGCCCTCAGCAAAGACAAGACCCACAGAGCCCACAGGCTCCACAAGAAGACAGAAATGAACCTGGATGCCTTGTTCCAGCAAATACAGTTCACAGAGAAACAGGCGAGGGAGAAAAGACAATTCATCCAACAAGGTCTGCCCCATGGCCGCTATCCTGTGGCGATGACACTGACCACACTTAATGGCTTCTCCATTTCCCTAGGGAAAAGCAGGGTAGACCCACGGTCATGAGGGGATCAGTGAAAACTGGCTGGCAGCTGGGCTGGCTGCTTATTGCCAATAGCATGTTTTTATAAGAATGTGACTTAAAATCATAGTCTGGTTTGGGCTGAAAAGGACCTTAAAATCGTCTAGTTTCCACCCCCACTAACTTACAAACTGAGCACACATTCTTACGGGCTTTTTGTTGTGTTCCAGCTAAATTCAACATAAATAGAAGCTATGAAAAAATTAACCAAATAAAAGAAGAGCTGAGCACTGCAAAAAAGAAACTGGAAACTAAGGTGAGCAGGCATGTTTATAGTATACATAATAATGAAATACATTATATCTACAAATATATGACCTATTCTTTCAGGAATAGATTCATAAACAATTTCAAGGAATACGCTTCACCTATCGAATACCACAGCACAGAGAAAACTTACACTGCGCATTTCTGTAGTGAAAAATGGTCTGTCAGCATCTTTCCCCCTCTCACAAATATCACCCCTCAGGCTGGCTCCTGGCTGCGGTCAGGGACTCATTCACCTCAGGGACAGGAACTTTTCCAGGTAACACGTCCATAATCTGGAAGCACTGGAAACAGCACTTGTGCATGTGGCAGTCACCGGTGCCCTGCAGACACAGCTTGGCAGGGAGCAGACCACCGTGCCAGGTCAGTCTGTTCACAAGACACAGCCATCAGACATCCCAGGTTCTGTATTAACCATCCTGGAGCTTGTTAAAGCACTTTCCTTTAGAGGCCCAGAAACCATTCCTTTGCTGCCCATTGCCATTCAATAAAGGCCTTTCGTAGAAAATATATGGAAGTATTCCCTGTGTTTACTTGACAGGATCTTGAGACACATACTAAAGATCTTCCTGTGAGCCTAGGCTCACAGTTAGGGCTTACAAGGCGTAAGAGTTTTTCTAGGGACAACAAAGAGGAAAGGTTCTGAATCTGTGTAGTGTTTTTAAGATTTTATTGTGCTTTTCATTTAACCAAACTGAAGACGTATTTTCAGATTAAAAAAAAATGAAAATCTATTTATTTATGGCTGAAAATGAATCATAGAATCATAGAACAGTTAGGGTCGGAAAGGACCTCAAGATCATCCAGTTCACACCCTCCCTGACATGAGCAGGGACTAAATATCATTCATTTGCTCTTAAGTGTGTAAGCTAGCAGAATGTATATGCACAATAGGAAAGCATATGGAGCCTCCTTTGAAGTCAGAACTGTTATATTCTATCACTTAAGTAAACATCTTCAAGAACCTTTGGGGATTGCCTCACCTAGTTGTGAAGATAGATGTTTGGGGGATGGTTTTCATCCTTCCAAAACCAGGCTCTTCTGCTTCCTGTAAAAGTCTGTGTAATATGTATAATAAATATCAACATTACAGGAAGGGGATAGGAATAAAAGAGAACTCATTTACAAATATGTACTGGTTGCAAATTCAGACTGTAATCATACAAGCGGCTCTTCACGGGCTTGCATTTATGGATGTCACAATCTCAGAACCCAAAAGTGCTTTAAAATAGTATCTTAACTGACAGATTTTATCTGGGTGTGAATTGTAAGGTTAAGTGGTTAAGTCCTTTGTAGTCTTCCTCATAAATTTATTTATTAACATCACAATTTATGTTTATACTATTAATTTGTTATTGATGCATTGTGATTTATATCAAGGTTTATGTGGTAGGTACAGAAGGGTCCAAGAGTAGAGACATTACTGTAAACAACTAATGGGAAGAGCTGAAGAACTATTCCTAATTAAACCTTATGTGCTTTACCCCCCAGGATTAATAACATTCTTACTAATGTGCACAAAACTATTTTTCCTTGCTTTCTTAGTCAAACATTGATTCATGTATAAATGAGAAATGATACAAAAAACAAGTGGAATCAAGAAATGCATTTTGATCAGACAGTATTTAGGTTTGAAGATCGTATAGTTATTAAAATTATTTAAAGTAATTTATTTTTCAGCACAGGAATTAAGTTTACATATGTCTACAATAATAAATGTGATTCAAACAATGTTAAATAATGTTGTTCAGCTAATGCTGCTCATTTTGTCTAAATAACTACACTTCTTTATAAGCCTACACATCCAAGCACGTGCATGCACAACAGCTTATGCCTGACCGAGCAGCTGAGGCTGAGTTCAAAAGTGTTTTGACATCTATTTCACAGAGACTGCCTGTGGTCAATCAAAGAGTCTTAGGAAATGCTATTTTTTCCTCTGTTCTGTACAATCAGGTAGCATGTAATTAGAACCTGAATTATAGCATTTTGCTTTTCATGGCTCAATGATTTCTTCAAAAAAAATCAGTTGCAAATGCATAGATTAAGTTGGCATCTTACAGATGGAGAAATTACACCGCAGCTCATTATGCTCAATAATATAAATACAGTGGTAAAAGATCCTCTACTCTCTTTGAATTAATATATAAAATAAATATTCATGAGGCAAGCACTTTCTGGGCACTTAACATGCTGGACATATCAGGGATAAGGGAAAAAACGGGTCCTTTCCTTTGTAACTCTCATATTCTAGTCTTATGGCATTTGATTTCACTATCCTCCTTTTTTGATCAGATGCTTGTCATCTGCACCCTCTCTAAATTAATCTACATTATTTCATTTTACAATATTTTCATTTTTGCCTCTGTAATATCACTATTATTTGGTCTTTTTTTGCTTCTGCACACAGGCACGTATCAGCCTGACTATTCAATTTACTTCCTGATGCTTACCCTGGGCCTTTACAGTCTGTGGGCAATTCTCCTAACTTTACTTTCCCTCCCCATTGTTCTGAGTATTACAGTCTGAGTCATTCTCTTGACCTCCTTTTCTCCACTTCATCAGGTGAATGATTCTCATCCTGTAAGACTCTTCAGCACCTAGATGTTCCCTATTTTTCTGCTGTTATAGTTTATCCCACCATATATCTTAACTTAGGTTAGACAATGATACAGTAAATTCACTGGAAAATTGACAGGAACTCTGTAGCAAATTTTGAAAATGAAATGGTGGAACAGCATACCATTCTATCAGATAAACTGCTGTTTAAAATGAATAAAATAAGAATAAAACTATATTCAAAATAGACATTTGGGGCTTGGGGATTTTATGGTTAAACTGTCTTGAACCAATGAGCTAATTGCCATTCCATGTCTTTGGCTAAGAATTCCAGAAATTGTGCTCAGAAAGCTATAAGCATATCCCTCCCTCCTTCATGTATACAATGGTAGTAGCATTTCAGAGCTGATGATGTCTACAGCTATTCAGTAAAAACAATGATGTGGGAACCCTGTCCCTCTGATATTATTGTCTGATTTGGTATGTAATGAGCTTTACACAATTAGATGTAGGACATCTTATCATGTTAGGTACCAGATCCCATATGATCAGTATGTTTCCTGGTTTTAACCTGAAAACCAAAATCTCCTAAACTGAACAGAATTACTTTAGATAGATGGATCAGGACTAAATGTGTCTTTTCAAAGGCTTAGTTGTATATTGGAAGATTACTGGGGGGAAAAAGAGCTGTTATGCTTCTGCTTAGTCCAGCAGCTATGCAAGCTGTGTTTTAACAGGACCAAGAACCTTACGTACAGTATCAAAGTATATGAAATAGTAAAACAATGACCTCACTTTATAACCTTTTTTAATTGTTTGTCTTTTCTCTTGGAAGGTTCAGCATCTGTCTGAAAAGGAGTTCTGCTTAGAAATTCTGAAGAAACGTGAAGAGAGCTTAGAAAAGCAGAAAGCTGAACTTATTAATCAAAAGAGCAGTCTTCTTAAAATCTTTGTATGTTTTCAGCTATGGTATTCAAACAGTTCTTCTCTACCATATAAGAATAGCCAGCTTTCAAATTTAAAAATATGGAAGAAGTAATGTTTTAAATATGGAAAATATTTTTTTTTTACTCTACCATACTTGATGTAAATGTAGATAAATTCTCACTATTAATTTAAACCATGGTCTAAGGTAATGTATGCTGCATCTGCAAAGCTGATTTAGCATTCTTGACTTCATTTCTTAATGTCTGCTGTTGTGTGATAGAACTCCAATTTGGATGCATTATTTCCTTTGTAAAAGAAAACTAGGAAAGTCTCACCTAAATGGGACTGCATCATCCACAATAAAACATATTGAGAAGGATCTAAGTCAAAAATCAGTGAGGCCAACTCCACATTTTAGAAATACTGGCATGCCACACAACCTCTTTGATGCTGGACACACCTAGCCACCTCTGAATAGGTAGCTTATAGAGATATATACAGAAAACAAGCTTTCCAGTTCTTTTTTGTGCTAACCTGGATATTGCCTTCCTCTTAGTACATTGAGGGTCCTTGGATATGTAGATGTTAAGGAAAGCCACAGATGAGTAGTCTTCTGCGCATATGTATTTGTACCAAATAAGCAGAGCTGAATCTTAAACATTCAATGTAAATCACCAGTTCTTCAGGATCCAAAGTATTCTCAATCTGAAGTATACAAAGAAAGAATAAATACTATAAATATCATAGAAAAACTATTTAGCTATAAAAACTAAATATACTTTGAAGAAGTGTGGTTTCTTTTAACTGCAACTAGTCAAGTTTGATATATAGGTTATAATGTCTTTCTTCCTGTTTATGAGAGTAACTTCATTTTATTTAATTTAACAATCAGTTAAGATTTTTTGAAAGGAATTTAGTAACGCCTTTCTCTTTAGAATACTTTTTTCCAGAAAATGAAACAGTAACTTCCTATCAACTATATCTCTTTTGGTAGGTATTGAGGGAGGTAAAGTAAGTCTGCATTCTGCAGAGGAATATACAGCACTTTTATTCTATTTAATAAAAAAAACAGAGTAGCCATAGTATGCTACAGACTTTAAACAGAACTTTCTACTAATTTCAATAAGGGGTTTAACTGGAAAACTGATGGCACAGGTTTGTAATGTAATGCAGTGATTTTTTTAAACGTTCTATTATTAAGAATACATCCTTCACTTTTTCAGAGGAAAAAAAAAGGAGAAAACAACAGACAAAATTATGGAGCTGTAGATCATTTTCACATTCTCATAAGTCAGGAAAAGTAAATATGCTACATTTGTAGTACATGTTTGATAAACGCCAGCATGTTTCAGTCTGTCTAGCTTAACAAAGACTTTCACCTGAACATTCAAGTTTTTCCCTTTTTTTTTTTTTCAGACAGATGCAAAGAGAAAAATGACTGAAGAGGAAGATAATTTTACTAGAGAAGTAACAGAGTTTAACAATGAGTATGGACTAACAAGTAATAGGGATCTTATGATTAGAAAAAAATTCAAGGCTGAAATAAATGATTTGGAGAATGAGGCAGCTCTGTTGAAAAATGGTAAGTTTTGTATTAAAATATTTATCTTGGTTTACCAGAGAATTAATACAAACCAGTGAAATACAGCTCTGCAAAACAATAATTTTAAATCAATTTCCTTGCTGTCTGGGACTTCCTTTTAGCACTACACTGAAAGAGCGTGGTCTGGCATTCCACGTTACACAAGCATAATTAAAGCCTCTTCTGTTCCCTATCTTCTTCGGTCCTTTCTGACTACAACCACTATGAGAAGCAGCAGACCTGCAGGAGTGGCTCCCAGTGCCTGATGTTGACCAGCACAGAGGTGCATTGTCACACATAAAATACTGTATTGGGTTTGCACTGATTATAA